TAATGGACTATATTTTAATTAACTTACACTACCTGATAACAGTCTTGTTGTCGATCCCACTTGTAAGAGCAACAAATAATAACTTGACTTCTAGTTAGAAGGTAGATTTTTCTGATGAATCATCTGTTGAACTGCATACCAATCCTCACACACACTGCAGAAGACCTACTGGAACCCACATGGAGCCAGGATTCTAACAGAAATCAGAAAGTTTGGTGAGGGAAAAATCATGTTCTGGGGTCAGTATGGGGGCCTGCAAGAAATCTGCACAGTGGATGGCAACATCAACAGCCTGAGGTATCAAGACATTTGTGCTGCCCATTACATTACAAACCACAGGAGAGGGCAAATTCTTCAGCAGGATAGCGCTCCTTTTCATATCTCAGCCTCCATATCAAAGTTCATGAAAGCAAAGAAGGTCAAGGTCAAGGTACTCCAGGACTGGCCAGCCCAATCACCAGACCTAAACATTATTGAGCATGTCTGGGGTAAGATGGAGGAGGCATTGAAAATGAATCCAAAGAATCTTGATGAACTCTGGGAGTCCTGCAAGAACGCTGTCTTTGCCTTTTCAGATGACTTTATTAATAAGTTATTTGAGTCATTGCAGAGATGTATGGATGTAGTCGTCCAAGCTCATGGGACTCATTCACAATATTTGCTATTTTTCAACTGCACCTTCACTTTATCATCTATACTGTACGTTATTTCTGTTAAGTGACAAGACTTTTGTCTGAGCAAAGTCAGACCATACTGTTCTAAATTAAATAATTCAAAATCAAGGCATGATCATATTTTATTTTGGTAAAATAAGTGTAATTAAGAGGCTTTTGCCTTTCATATGAACTCGAACTCGATGAACAGCGCCAATAGCGTGCTTTTATAACTGGCGCCGCCCCTCTCACAGCTGCACCTGATCTCCGCTCATGTAGAGAGAGAGAAAGAGAAAAATAATAGAGGATACAACACAAACAGGAACAATACACACTAACATTGTTGAAATAATGTTACTCAATATGTAACAGGAACTGATTTTAGCGTACTATATAGTATGGAGGCGACACAGTGGCGCAGTAGGTAGTGCTGTCGCTGTGGGTTTCCTCCGGGTGCTCTGGTTTCCCCCACAGTCCAAAGACATGCGGTACAGGTGAATTGGGTAGAGTAAATTGTACATAGTGTATGTGTATGTATGTATGTGTGTGTGTGTGTGTGTGTGTGTGTGTGTGTGTGTGTGTGTGTGTGTGTGTGTGTGTGTGTGTGTGTGTGTGTGGATGTTTCCCAGAGATGGGTTGTGGCTGGAAGGGCATCCTCTGCATAAAAACATGCTGGATAAGTTGGCGATTCATTCGACAAGAAAAGCCTAAGCCGACAAGAAAATGAATGAATGAATGAATGAATGAATGAATGAATATAGTATGGAAGTATGCCGTTTCGGACGCAGCCTATGTGTGTGTAATTAGTCATTAAGCAGCATCAGCTGTGAGAGTGCAATCAGTCAGGATCAGGAACCGGTTGTGTGTGTGTGCTGCATGACTTTATTGTAGTCCAATATGAGGCAGGATTGTAGTTCGTGTGAGTATGGATGTTTTCCAGCGATCTATGGTCGTTAGATCGCTGGTGATTGTGACAAAAGAAACCTTATGAAACAATTAAAATGTAGTATTATTTAGTATTATTTTTAATTTGTTTGTTTAAATTCAGCCCATATAAATAGTTTTGAACCACTTACCTTAAAAAAAATGAGGAAATCCAATGAATTATTATGTGTGTGTATTGTAGCCCATTCCAACACAGTTGTACCTTTATTAGCAGCCAAACAGGCAGTTATCTCTAAATGTCAACATATGTGCTGATTTTTACTTTGAAGATTTCAATGTTTAACACTGCTTATCTTTGGTTGTCCAGAGATTACAAGGTCATAGGACCAAGTTTGACAAAAGCACCGATTCTGATCAATTGACGCTGACCTCAAATTTTGTACACTCTCTCTAATCCTCTCTGTGACCTTTGAGTTGATTTTTACTTGTTTCTCCTGTCATGCACAGTCAAACACCTAAGCGCTTATAGCCTCTAACCATTACGATGATGATAAAGAGATAACACACACCAATGCACCGAGACACAGATGATTTATAGTCTTCATTGGCTGCTCCTCCTCAATCCTCCCTCCCCGCGCTTAGACCTGAATTACCAATCAGTTTCACTAAAATACCTGTCAGAGGCTATAGCTATTCCAACAGCCTTTCCGCACGGTTTTGCATGATGTTTTAATTGTAGGCCGTTCTAGCAGCGCTACAATAAAGTTGCTTGGTGCAATCAATGTCAGGCCCGAGCAAATTAACCCAGCTTGTATAAAGGTATGTGCATTTTCCAATATCTTGTTATTGACATTCTTGCTCCAATAAACGTCTGGGTGTTAAGTGAACCACTTGCTGCAGGATGCAATGGGCTGGGGTCGTTAGCTTGCATGAGTTTACACAACACATAGGCTCACTGTGGTGGAATTGTGGTTACTTTTGAGTTGTTTTTAGCAAAAGCTAGTTTTTTCTTTGATGGGAGTCATGATTAATGGTAAATTAATGATTATTTATTGTAAATACACTTTTTAAAGTGGAGTATATCAGTTCTATATCTCTCTGGCAATTTCTGTACTCGTCTGTTATTCAAGCAGTGCTTTGTTCAGGCAGTTACTACACATTTAACTGGGAACATGTGCTGAACTTTAATTTGCTTGCCAGTGAGGTTGGCCAGGCCAGATTCACGATTGATCGTCAGGCCACCGGGAAATGTCACGGTGCTCCCTATGGCCAGTCTGCCCTGTATATGTATGTATGTATGTATAGTATACACTCACCGGTCTGTTTATTAGGTACACCTGTCCAACTACTCGTTAAATTTCTAATCAGCCTCAAAGCAAGAAGGTCGCTGGTTCGAGCCTCAGGTCAGTTGGCGTTTCTGTGTGGAGTTTGTATGTTCTCCCTGCGTTCGCGTAGGTTTCCTCTGGGTGCTCCGATTTCCCCCACAGTCCAAAGACATGTGGTACAGGTGAATTGGGTAGGCTAAAATATCCTTAGTGAATGAGTGTGAATGAATGTGTATGGATGTTTCCCACAGATGGGTTGCTGCTGGTAAGGCATCCGCTGCGTAAAACATATGCTAGATAAGTTGGCGGTTCATTCCGCTGTGGCGACCCCAGATTAATTAAGGGACTAAGCCGAATGAGTCACTGATTGGCATGATCAGGCATTCACAATGGTATGAACCGCCGATAGGGGTAATGAAATGTATATTTATATGATCTATTATTGTTATTAATTGTTTATATCATTAATTAAGATATAGATTAGAAAAAACTATTCCTCACTATTAAAGGGATGATCCTCTATAAATCTTTGTTTTGATCAAGCATTAATTAGGGGGTTAATCCCATCAAACCCACCTCTAAACTGAACCCTTTATGTCAGGGGTGCTCAACCCTGTTCCTGGAGATTGACCTTCCTGCAAAGTTCAGCTCCAACCCTGATCAAACACACCTGAACCAATTAAATTAGGACCTGAACAGCACTTGATAATTACAGGCAGGTGTGTTTGATATGGGTTGCAACTGAAATCTGCAGGAAGGTTGAATCTTCAGGAACAAGGTTGGTCACGCCTGCTGTATGTATATTATATGTATCGTAAATGTGTTATCATCTACATCTAGCTGTGCTTAACGTAGTTTCAGTTGTGTTATTCATCATGCACAATCCCCTGTATTTTGTAATAAATGTGGTTCATAGTTAATGTTACTTAATGCATTTACTAACATAAACAAACAACGATCAATACAGTAATGAGCAAATACAGTTGTTTTTAATCTTTGTGGATTGTAATGAATGAAAGTCATTTTAAGTCATGTTAGTACATAAACACATAAAAAAATATGAACTAATGAATTTTTATTGTAAAATGTGACCAATTTGATTAGCAATATTTGTTTATTTGGTACAAACTGGTGGTAATAAGGTAATTTGCACTTGCTGATGGGTAAATAGGACACTATATACTGTATAACTATATGTACATGCAATCCTTTACATGTTTTGACAGTAATGTAATGATGTGCATCTTTTGTGAAGCTGCTTTGGAATGATAATCATGATATTAAATTTCCTAATTTCCTACAATTAGGATTATCCTTTTATGCTGTTATCCTATTATATCCTAGTATCCTACATTTATTGTAAAAAAAGTGCTATACAATTAAACTTGAATATCCCTTATATTCTTTTATAAGTTTATTTACTTCATTTTTTTAATGTATGTTAGTGCTGTAATTGTGCCAGAAAGTTTAACCTGGTGTTAAAAATTTAACGGCTGCATCTGACGCTATTGCTGTCTTTAATATAATGTAATTATCCAAGGGGTCGCAATAAAATAGAACTAGTAGCCAGAAGCTTCTATAGTAACTATTTACAGTAGTATATAGTAACTATAAACAACTTTTTTTTTTCTTTTCAGTAGGTTATGGATAAAATATGGTACTTATCACGGTTTAATAAAAATAAATTGATTTTTGGAAATCACCAGGCGACCCCCCTTATTGTCCTGTGACCCTTCGGGTGGTCCCGACCCCCACTTTGAGAACCACTGCCTTATACTATGCCCCATATATAATATTTGCACTTAGTCATTTATTCATTAGTGATGCTTTTTAAATGTGTCTTGTTCAATTTGCATTTAAATTATGATGACCTAATATAGACTTTAACCTTAACAAGTGATTGGAATGTAACACAATATGAGACTCCAAAATGTACAAAGTATTTTAGAAAGTGTTTTCGGAATACTTATTTTGCTTGTTTTTTCCCGTTCTCTCTCTCTCTTTATAATTTTTGGTAGAGATCCCTCAGTGTGACTGGCTGTTACACAGTAAAATACTAAATATAATTCCATTACCTTGTGTCATATAGACTGTACAAGAATAAAATTAAAACCTGTATGATTGTTTGTCTTTTCAGCACCTTGTGGTGGGCAATACACTGGATCAGAGGGGGTGGTGTTATCTCCAAATTACCCTCTAAACTACACAACCAGCCAGACCTGTTCCTATTACATCACAGTATCTGGAGAGTTTGGTAAGTTAACACTTTTATTTAGAAAAATCTAGTTTCATAAAAAAATACATAAATAACATTATTATTATTATTATTATTATTATTATTATTATTATTATTATTATTATTATAAAACAAATTACAAATAAAATAAAAATAATACAAATAAATAATACAAATTTGTAAATATACAAAATAAACAAACAAACAAACAAATAAATAAATAAATAAATAAATAAATAAATAAATAAATAAATAAATAAATAAATAAATAAATAAATAAATAAATAAATAAATAAATAAATAAATGGATGAATGAATGAATAAACAAACAAACAAACAAACAAAAAAATAAAACAAATAAATAAATAAATAAATAAATAAATAAATAAATAAATAAATAAATAAATAAATAAATAAAGGTGTAGGACTTATTAAAAAGCATGCAAAAAGTTAAGAAATTTTTTAGTGAATTTGCTTTTGAAATTCTCTGCTTGACATTCTGTTTTGTTGATAAAATTAATAAACACTTCATTAATTGTTCTTATAATACCAATTTATATAATAACATGTTCACGTTGACAGGCAAAATTTTGCATTGAAATATTTCTCATTCAGTTCATGGACTGTAAATTTTAGGTTATAGAAATAAACTGTTCCATTGCATAAAGTTGTGAAATGTTAATACTCCTTCAAATGTTTCCTAAGCCCTTTTTAGCAGAGTAAGGGAATTCACCATATTATTTCAGATATTTTTAAGAAAGAATGTAAGTAAAGAAAGAAAGAAAAAGTAAGTAAGTAAGTTAGTAAGTAAGTAAGAAAGTAAGTAAGTAAGGAAGGAAAGAAAGAAAGTTTGGATCTTAATCTCAAATTAATTGTTCATGCCTTAACAAAACTAGACTTTCCTAAATCCATTGCAAAACCACTGCCGCACACATTTAGCAATTACAAATAAAAGTACAGCTCTAACATTTGAAGTTTGTGCAAGTATATGTGAGTCAACGGATATCCAGTCAACCTGATATTTTCACAGACACTTGCAGCGACCCTACATGTTCTCTATATACTGTTTGAGTATGAAGCAACTGCCGGCATCTCATTAGAGGGAAGATAATAGAGTCATCGCAGTGGTCCGCATGACCCCTCTGCACCCCTCTCTGCATGGCTGGATTTCACACCAGCACCTGACATGCCCAGCAAGCCTCTGTGATTTCCCTGCTCTCTCATCTCCTAACACGTGAACCATGTGTCCTTTCTGGCAAGCCAACACATTTAATCATAGCTTCATCAGAGGTATCGGGTCAGAAGGATTGGACGCCCGGCATGACCTAGCCTGCGCATATTGCATATATTACAGAGATGATTTTAAGACGGGCTGCATGATATTGGAAAAAAAAATTATATTGCATTATATATACAGTTGAAGTCAGAATTATTCGCCCCCCTGTTTATTTTTTCCCCAATTTCTGTTTAACAGAGAGAAGATTTCTTGAACACATTTCTAAACATAATAGTTTTAATAACTCATCTCTAATAACTGATTTATTTTATCTTTGCCATGATGACAGTACATAATATTTGACTAGATATTTTTCAAGACACTTAAAGTGACATTTAAATGCTTAACTTGGTTAATTAGGTTAACTAGGCAGGTTATGGTAATTAGGCAAGTTATTGTATAATGATGGTTTGTTCTGTAGACAGTCGAAAAAATATATAGCTTAAAGGGGCTGATAAATTTTACCTTAAATTGTTTTTTAAAAATTAAAAACTGCTTTTATTCTATAATAAAACAAATAAGACTTCCTTCAGAAGAAAACATATTATCAGACATAATTTGAAAATTTCCTTGCTCTGTTCAACATCATTTGGGAAATATTTTAAAAACAAAAAAATGTTCAAATGGGGGCAAATATTTATGACTTCAACTGTATATAAATTGCAATATGAATATAATTTCACAAGGTGATATGGTAACACTTTAGTTTAGGTCACAATTCATGCTAATGATTACTGACTTAATACCTGCCTATTATTAATGTATGAACTGTTCTTTAATAGTTGTAAAGTTTGATCTCATTCTGCATCCCTAATTCTACATTGTTAAGATTTTCCTGTAGAATCTACAGTAACGTACTGGCAGCAGTTTGGCTGTAACTTACTGTTAATGAAATTACAGCAAAAAATACTGTTTTTGCATTCACAGCACCATATATATAGCTGTAAATGTAATTACAGAAATATATGTATATATTCACTGTAAAATATACTGTAATTTTTACAATGCAGCTATGAAATACAATAACATTCTGCATAACTGTCCTACGGTAAAATACAGTTCATATTAGGGTTGGGCGATGTTGACCAATTTGGCATCGTACGATGTCTAATGTGAAACATCGCAATAGACGATGGGATCATCATTATAAACAGCTGTAAATTACTTAATTATGAATAATTAATTAATTCATAATGAATTCAATATTCGTAGCCTACCTTTTCAGCTACCAGACCAGCATGGTCTTTGTTTTATCCATAACCAAATCATAAATAAATAAAGATAAGTTACTCACAAATGACCACCTGGTAATCACTTTTTCCGCAGGACTCTGGCATGAATAGGCAGAGTGATCTGTGTAGTTATAATGGCGTTGACAAAATTGGTTGATAAAAAAGGTGCCCAACGAACAGTATCTGAGGTTTTCACTAAAATTACTAAGTACAAGCGTGAAAGCGAAAGATTGAAGCAGTGTACTGATCCTGTGACATGTTGCCTGGTGGATTCAAAAGACTGAAGATTCGTTAGATAGAGACAAGATTAATTAAATATCACGTTTAAAAACTATAGTGAGACGTACATCCGTGATAAAGTGTCCGACCTGCCCTGCTCTGTGGTTTTGTGCTCAAAACACCCGCTGACTGCCTGGAACTAAGACGTGTGCATATGCTGTTGCGCATGTGTGATTTATAAACATCATCAACAGTGTACCCAAAACCTAAACCCAACTTCTACCTTAATAACCATCTAAAGGTCATGAAACCCCCCTCTTTCGGTCAAATCTACCCTAGAATTTTTTTCAAAAAAAGGCTTCATGATGGTATGGAGTGCTGTGAGCAGAGGGAGGAGTTGGTGTGACCAGCAGAGCGGGGGAAAACGAGGGGAGTGAACAACTGTTGTCAGTTGGTTCACAAAATGAGACACAAACCATGAGGAGACCCATGATTTTATATATTACTAAGTTAAAATGCAAAGAAATAAACAATAATTTAATGCCTTGCTAAATATGTTATTCATAGTTTCATATACACAAAACCACAATTTGTTTTATAATTATAAATATAAACACTATACATGAGGTGGACTTCTATTCTCCTCAATCTCTGGGTCTGAATGCAGACACTGTGGATAGCAGTGCAGCAGGTCTCTTTCCCTATCTATTCCAACCATAAGGTGTGCTGGGAATCTGGAGTATTTTAAAAATAAGCGAACACAACAGCACAGATATAGGCTATGTGTCTGAATGGTATCAAACTCAACAGATTAAAGTCCGCCATTCTCCAATTCTCATTCAGCTCTCCCAACAAAAATGCTTTCTGCAAACCAACAGCTTTGCCGTATCGGCCCTGACAGCACCGTGAGGAAAAAGATGCAACAAACCCAGTGAATCATGAAAACAAACACATACAACCCTTTATGAATGGCTAAATACTGCTTGCCATGCACTCTCTCACCCAGTCTCACCCAGTCATTGGGTCTCACAGCTGGGCAGGTCTGCTTTGCTTTCGGAAAGCACATGCTCTTGTGAATAATTAAGAAGCAGGGTCTTCTCATGGGATAAAAAAATCTCAGCTATGAATAATTATGAGAAACAGATGCGTCATCACTCCACTAGCAGATTTGCACTACATCACAGATTTTGATCCCGCCCCCAAAATTATTTTAAACCCAGAAGATGAAATTAGCTGACAAAAGCTCAAAACTATCCCGTTTTCCCCACAATTAAAGCTGACAGGTGCTAATGTTGTCTTAAATGATGCTCAACACACACAAATCTGTTAAAATATTTAAAAAGGGTATTTTGAACCTTTATTAAACAGCTAATAAGTAGTTTATTAAACAAGTAGTGCTAGTTAATACTATGTTAACAACCTGAATGGGGTAAATGCAGACAGACTTTTAATTTTAGTTAGCCCAAGGGTTTCCGATTAATTGTCATCCCATACAAAATCGCCGTGTTTAAGATCTTATTTCTTAAAAAAAAAACATCGATCTTGATTATACAACGACTTGCTTAATTAACCTAATTAACCTAGTTAAGCCTTTAAATGTCACTTTAAGCTGAAAAATAGTGTCTTGAAAAATATTTAGTAAAATTGTATGTACTGTCAATATGGCAAAAATAAAAGAAATCAATTATTAGAAATGAGTTATTAAAACTATTATGTTATATATTATATATAAGTGAGTCTTCTTTTGTTACATAAATTGGGAAAAAATCAAATGTATGCATCAATAATCATATACAGTTGAAGTCAGAATTATTAGCCCCCCTAAATTATTAGACCACTTGTTTATTTTTTCCCCAATTTATTTTTAACAGAGAGACAATTTTTTTCAACACATTTCTAAACATAACAATTTTAATAACACATTTCTCGTAACTGATTTATTTTATCTTTACCATGATGACTGTAGATAATATTTGAGTAGACGATTTTCAAGACAGTTCTATACAGCTTAAAATGACATTTAAAGGCTTAACAAGGTTAATTAAGTTAACTAGGCAGGTTAGGGCAATTAGGCAATTTATTGTTTAACAGTGGTGTGTTCTGTGAATTATTGAGAAAAAATATAGCTTANAGGGGCTAATAATTTTGTCCCTANAATGGTGTTTAAAAAATGCAAAACTGCTTATATTCTAGCCGAAATAAACAAATAAGACTTTCTCCAGAAGAAAAAAAATTATCAGACATACTGTGAAAATTTCCTTGCTCTGTTAAACATCGTTTAGGAAATATTTAAAAAAGAAGAGAAAAATTCGAAGGGGTCTAATAATTCTGACTTCAACTGTATAAATATATATATGAAAGTATATACAGTTGAAGTCAGCCCCCCTTTTTAAAACTTTTTTACAAATATTTTCCAAATGATGTGTAACAGAGCAGGGAATTTTTCATAGTATGTCTGATAATATTTTTTTCTTCTGGAGAAAGTCTTATTTGTTTTATTTCAGCTAGAATAAAAGCAGTTTTAATTTTTTATGAACCA